CTTGAAAAAAAAATGCTAGGAAATCAACATTGTATGAGGCTCATACTTTCATATTTTCAACATTCACATACTGACATTTAATCCATAGTGTCTCAGTCGGCCTACTGCCAACTTTCCTGCCAAAATATTTTTAATGAAATGACAAATGGACAAACATTTTAGGGTGTGTGGGACACGTTTATTTTACATACAGCTTCACTGTGATCCATGCAACTTGTTGGTTTGACAAAGAATGACAAAGAAAACTAGATAATTTATATGTATTTACCTTGTATGTAATTTCTTTTGGAGGGAAATGTGAAGGAAGAGGGAGAGGCAAGCCCTCCCCTACAAAACAAAATACTATATTCAACTGCTCCAATTGGCCAACCTTCTGATCATCTCCATCATCAACATCCCAAGGAGAAGGAGGCAAGTTATAATCTTTTCATTAATGAAAATGCTAGATCAACTCAAAGCTACGTTATTGTCTTTGAAAATAGGTCCATTGATTAATTGATTGATTGTAATATTTAAAGGCTAGTTTGCTTAGTTTAAAACAAATAAACCCCAAATGCATGCAAGCATAATTTTCAAGTTCTGTGTCCTGTAGGTAGATTTTTTGATTGCAAAAATTTGAACAAGTTACCCATTATCTGAATGGTTACCTAAATAACTATTGTAATGTGGTTGTATTTGTTGATAAAAACTGTGCTTGCTAATATTAGCATTAGGCTACAGTTAGCCATATAAACTAATTGTCACTCTACTTAGAACCAGCAAAGGCTTCCACTTGTAAACATCTTTAACCTCTTTTATGCTGGGCAATTTGGTGAAAACAGTTTGCTAGGTTAGAAGCAAACCTTTAAACTTACTTCAGTTAGCTGTACTATTAAATTTGACATTTGCTGGTTGTGGTCAAACTAGAAAAATTATATATGTACATTTTTATACCTTTTAAGACTAATGAGGGTAAGATTCAAACCTCCTCTCCCCACCAGGACCAAGCACTGTACCTGGGGTGACAGAGCTTTCACCATTGCCACCCCCTCCCGCTGGAACTTTCCAGAACGTTGTGACCTGGACTCCTACAAATCACTTATCAAAACCCACCTCTTTAGACTAGCTTTCAACCTCAAATAATATTACATTTCTCTCGCATGCTTTTGTATTTATGTTTTTTACCTATCGTGTACATAGTTCATATTTATGTATCTTAGCTGTTTATCTATTTCTCTATATAATCACTGGTTTTATTGTAAAGTGTCTTTCAGTGTCCTGAAAAGCACTATAGAAATAAAATTAATTTATTAAAATAGTATTATTATTATTATTATTATTATTATTGGGATTTATCAGTAGTTATGCGGCATTCAGACCAAACGCAAATTTAATCCACGCAACGCTTTCCTCGCGGGGGTTTTATCGCTGAACAACTGCTGAGTGTTCACACACAACGCAGTAACGCGAATAAACACAACTAACCATTAAATAGCAAGAAACGGATCAAACTGATGTCGAAATAACTACAACATGATGCAGATTTGTTAAACATGTGAATTCATGCTTCAGCAAAACAGCACGAAAACATAACTAAACTAAAATGTTTGTTTTCTTAATGGAGTTCAGGGCTATGCTATGCTAACTTGGTCCGGTAAAGTACAACGGTAGCTGGGATAAAGTTACATACATGTTTTCTGAACTCACCAGGTAGATCAACCTCCTCGCTTTTTGTCTGTTTTTTATATAAATATGAAGTAGTGCCAAACGACGCTAACAACACTGGAACCGGATGTGCTCGGAATCTAGCTGCTGAGAAGCTTGAGTGAAGATAAATCAACGTTGTAATCCCAAAAACTAAAGTAAAAAGCTAACGGCGTTGTTGTCAGAGCATAATCCAGTCCGACCACGGGTGTTTATTTGTTCAAAAGCTGGAGCGCTGCTCCCTGCTTCTCTAGCCCAAGTTTAGCAGCTCTCAGCCCGCACTGCCCCCCTTGTGTCGCTTTGCGCCGCCCGACAGGCGATTTACATGCTTTAATGTTCAAAAACACATTATTTTTCTCACACTGTCCATCACACCTCTTTCACTCTCTGTTGAAACGCTCCCATTTAGCTCCTGTCTTTTTAAGACCCACCTCCCTGCAAGCCCACTTGCTTCTGATTGGGCAACTTTCCAGAGCACAGCAGAGGGGTGGGGCCTAGCTTCACACTGCTGAATCAAGGCCTGCTATGCGAGACCAAAGGGGTAAGCCACAGTTGAAACAGTGAAGCCGACCAAAGCCTGCATGGACGGTTCCATTTAGGCCCAAAAATGATGTCAAAATCAGAATCAGAATCAGAAGGAGCTTTATTGCCAAGTAGTGTTTTACACATACAAGGATTTTCCTTTGGTGTTAAGGTGCTACACGCAGATAGACATACAGCTGACATAAATAGATATTTGTTTTCATGGGGATTTCAGAATTCACCTCAGGCCGTAGCCACACCATAGCTGCAAGAACTAGGATGTCATGGGGGTGACTAGGCCCCATAGTCAGTCACCTGTTTTCACCTACTGGCTGCAGTCAAGATACTACTTGGGGGGAAACCACTACTCTGTCAGTGGCTGTGTCAAGGTTCAGCTCTATTGTCATTTTTTAGGCCATAGTGGTTGGTGTTTTTAGTGCGATTGTATCTGTAGGTTGTCATTTTGTTATTAAAATGTCAGTACAACTGCAGTCACTGCAACCAAATACACATTCTCTCTAATCTGTCAAGGTTGGACTTCCAAGGTGATCTACAGTCTTCCACTACTGAAATATCTGCTCCTCTGCATTTGCTGGGTTTATTGAAGTAGTGCAATACTTGTCTTTACCTCACTACTCAAAATCTGAATTTACCTATGGTGTGCCCTCTAAGGGTGGGACTGCAACACAAAATATATATTGTAGCTTATACTTACAATATACCAAATTCAACTAAAATTCAATCCCAGGCAATGTACTAGATAATGGTTGAATCAGTATTGATAGTTAGTCATGTGTCAAGTCAAGTGTTAGTCATGATTGAAAAACTGATGTTTATTTAACATTAAACATAATGAAAGCTTTTAATTTGGTTTCGAATTCAGGCATCAAGGTAGATTCAAAACTTCTGACAATACTTCACTTTCTTTTAAAATATTTGAGTACTTTGCATTTCAGTTTTTGCTTTCTAATGCAATCCAATGGAGCCCCAGAAACTGTATACACCAAAAAGTGACTCAAACATGTCTTTTCAACACAATAACACTCACACTGTCATTGCACATGTTAAATAGCTGATTAAATAATTGTCAAAGCGTGTTAGTTAGTAGGCCATTTGATACTTTGATACTCACACTCAAACTTCCTTGTTTAATCTTGACAGCTTGTCTTGTGGTGTGTTTACGTCGTATCAGAAGAAACCAAAGAATGGGACATTGTTGCCTCAACTTGAAAGTGTTTAAACATGTTGGAACACACACATTCAAACCAGTTGTATTTATGACTTTGAAATCAATCCACTGCAGCACATATTATTCACGTTTCAATTGAAATTTGTGATTTTATAATGTTGACTTCCTGTGGTAACACATCCACAGCTGGTGATGCTTGGTGGAAAATACTGAATATTGCAAAATCTTCCCACATGTCATACTTAATTTTCCATGTTAGCGGCTCTAGGGATGGCAATGTTGGTCTGTCTGTCAGTCGGTCCACACTGAAATATCTGAACATCTATTGGATGGATTGTTATTAACTTTTGTACACTCATTCAGGTTCCCCAGAGGATGCTGCCACTGATTTTGGTTATCATTTGATCATTCAATCAAGCACTAACATGAGGTTGACATATTTGATCAGCATATCATTGTCATTGTGAGCATGTTAGCACACTGACTTTAGCATTTAGCTTAAATCACCACTGTGCCTGCTGTAAGTACAGCCTCACGGAGCAGCTAGCCTGGCTGCATGACTCTTATTAATAGACATGTATGATACAAGGCATACAATTGCAGTATTTCTCTTTGCAGTTTGTTTTACTGTGTTAATAGCTTTTGGGTTAATAATTGGCGTATAGGAGTAGGAGTAAGCAGCTCAGGCGATCAACACCAACATGTTGCAGCCATCTTTATATACAGTCTATGGTAGCAGCATATCATAATGTGGTGTTGACTTCAACAATCTTTCTTGTTAAGAAGTCAAACTTAATCAGACTGGTTTTGATCAGCTGATGTGGTGCACATGACTCTTGCGTCCTGCCCTGCCTGAACTGATACGTCAGAGGAGAGAAGCCCCTAGGTTACAACCACTACAGTGAAGTTGCACAATATCACAGCAATATTTAGATCTGAGTTTGTTAGCATGATGGGCAAAATGGCGAAATGAGACTCAGATGGAAGTTTTTTAACAATTGCAGAATGCAGTGCAAGGCTGTTATTTCACAGGTTTTACCCAATTTACCACATGATCCAGCTGAAAAATATTTACATTGAGCGGGAAAAGAGGGAAATCAGTAACAGACAGCTATCCCTTATGAATTACTGTAATTTATATCATTAACTGAAGGTGGCTGTGCCTCTCTGCATGTGAGCTGCTGGGAAGCATTTTCTTTTTCCATCTTCCTCAACAAATTTTCTTTAAGCTCAGATCCAGTTTCTTTCCAGTCATGAAACATTAACTGCACTTTATAAAATCAGTAGCTTGATGTTCATTCTCACAAATTAGGCCATTAACGTCATTGGTGTGCCAGGAACAGCACTCACATTTTGATGCCAATGTATCAATGAAAGCTTAAAGAATGAGTTCCTCTTTTATAACTACCTCAGCACTTTTTTTTATTTTGAAAGCACTCAATATGGATCTTTAGTACCTGAATAACTTACTGAAGAAAGATACACAATAGAGTACATACAGCAGCTCCAAAAGGAAACTGGGCACACTGTTTTAGGATGTTTTCAGCAATGACGAAAACAAACTTAAACAATCTTAACTTTCAAAGAACTGACCACAACCCTCCAGTTTATGTTCACTTTAACCAGTGTTTTATTTCTACACAATAAATGACAGCAAAATGAACATGATACTCATCTTTATGACTCTTCCTTATGAAAATATAGTACACATCAGACATGTTTTGCCATGTACCAGAGCACCAAAAATATATATAATTGCAACTGTGAAAACAGAGAGAAACATAAAAGTCTAATCTGTTGTATATGTGCCTGAAAAAGTGCATACTGTGTAAGAACCAAAGAGAGAGGAGGCCATCAGAGGGAGGGAGGGACTACTGAGTCTGATGGCTACCTTTACAGTGTTGGTGAAATTCTCAGCAAACACAAAGGCATTGGGATAAGACTCAACAACATACAGTATAGAGTGAGGAGAAAGGAAAGCTGTTGGTGTCAACTCAGACCAATTTAAAATGAACTTCTCAATGCATAACAAAGATCAGTCAAGTCTGATTATGAGCATCAATTTCAACTCCTAAGACCCAGAAATGACCATTATGATTTTATTCATCTTGACAACAAATAAATAATTTATGACTCAATGGATAAATTCATGGTTTAGACAACTGACAACAGTGCTTGTACTAAGCCATTATGAACAAATAAATGCTGACAGCGAGTGGTGTGGTAAAGCATCACAGGTCTTTTTTTTTCCTTTTTTCTGTCTTGCAGGTGATACTTTGACACAATGCACAACATATTCACGGTTCATCTCTTTGTATAATAGTTATGATAAAAATCAAGAGCTACTCCCAAACAGTTAGTACATGGTTTGCAAATACAATCATCATATAATATTATTATTTACATCTTAAAATATATTTGTTGAGCAATCGGGTACGAAACATCGCAGTAATACCACTAGATATCCACATAATATGTAAATACACTTTTTTTGGACTTCCCACTTAGAAAAAGGACAATTCACCTTTTTTATTTATTGAGGGATTAGGAAACAGACATAAGTGGACCATTCTATAACCAGAGGCCTGTGAGAGGTACTTCATGTGTTACAATACACAGAAAAATGTCTTACAACAAGATGGCACATCAGTATTTTTCTCCACAATGATCTGAGCAAAAATATTAGGGCTTCAGACACTCTTTCTAACACTCCTTATCACTTTGTAATGAGTTAGACACTACAAAGTTTCTGCCATTTTTAGACAAGCAATACAACAACCAGGTGTTAAATTAGAAACAAAGGAGCGACTGTTGGTGGAAAATGTGGAGAGGTATCAAAGCCTGTCATAAAAGACTGCTATATAAATCATATTATGTGATAAGCATAGGCTCTAGGTGAGGAGAACTGTGTTCCTTCGGCCTAACTTCAAAAGGCTCTGTAAGCTGGGCAAACATCCTCTCTCATTTTCACAGAGCCAGCTTGACCCTGGCAGCACTGTGCAGGCATACCTGACAGTGACAGATGAGGCAGTGTGTCGGGGCGTGGGGGGATGGCGGTAGGAGGGGTGAGGGAAGGGGTGGTCGGAGTCCCAGAGAGGGACGGCTGCCACCCCCAGGAGAAACTCTGACTCATTGGCCTCGGCTTGTTGCCAGTCAGCGCTGGCCACCCCTGGCCCAGGGGCAGCCTCTGTGAGTACACATTTTCACACCTGGACAAATAGCTAGACAAGCCAGGAAAAGCAGCCCACCCATCCCTAGCTCTCTCCCTGCCCACCTTTACTTTTCTCCCATCCAAGAACACTCTATCTGGTGCACCATCAGCTGCCTTCTGACCTCCAGTCCTTTTCTTCCTTCATTTTTGACCACTCTCTTTACCACGTGCCCATTTTCTCCTGCCCTTAACTGGCTGTGTATATATTCCTTGTGCCTTACACTGGTCTCTCATAACATTATTTGCTATATTATGTATGTCCATTATATACTTATATACTCTCTTTTCACAACTTCTTATACATATGGCTAATGTGTGCATAAAAAAAGCAAATAAAGGAAAAAAAAATTAACTTTACATTCCGGTTTTAAATGAATAAAAATGGATACACTGCACTTAGTAACATTTCAACATGTGTTGAATCCTCATTGGATGCAAGCAGTGTCCATCTACACTCGATGACCAATGAGACAAGTTCTTGTGTGGTTGTGGGCCTTAAGTGTACTACATGTTTGATCAATGCCTGACAGCAATAATCACAACAGAGTGTGATGACGGAGACAAAATAACAGTTTTGACCGATAATGTTTTTGTTTATAAGAACAATGTAAAAAATAACTTACATGGACATTAAATATAACTTAAAAAAGTATAACACTCTCAATAAATAGTTCTACTATTTACACCATTGTTATGAGACGCAAAAATGTCACTAAAATACCAAAAATATAGAAGCAGCAAACATTACAGGCATGAGGTACAGCAAGGGATCCTATGATGACTACAGTAGAGGGGTGATGTCCTCATCCAATGCTTAATCTTATACTTCCTTCCATGAATATCTTGATTATCTATGGCTTATGGGTATCTTCTCCAAAATTAAGAATAGATTTCTTCAAGCTGACATGTAGTCACATTTTGTAGCCTTTCTGATAGTAATAACGATCAGCTTCTTTTGGTATCCAGACATTGACTGATGATACATGTAATTTTTGAGAAGGGTATTTCTAAGTTAATCAAAGTATGTGGAAGCTATGACAGACTATGTTAATTTTATAGAATAAAGGGAAGGATCCAATGACATATTTCGGATGCATCCCTTCAAACTGCTAGAATGGCTTTCCAGTGACCTCAATGGCAGGTGATGAACCACAGTACTGCATGTCATTGGCATAGTGTAGTGATTGCAGGTCAGTTTCTCCCCACTGGTAACAGTTCTATGTAAAGCAGCAGTATCTGGAGTACTAATATTACATATAATTTGACAATAGCAACATAATACATTTCTTTTTTACCACGGCTATATAATTTTTCATATAAAGTGTTAAATGCAATTTTGATCATCCCAGGGTATGCACAAGGTACCTTTCAGCGTCCGTATGAAATGCCTTTTTAAGATGTGGTTAATGTTGTGAAATGGCCGCAGTTTGGTTAGGTTTTGGCACAGAAACTACTTGGTTAGGAAAAGAGTATGGTTTGGGATGAAATAAGTATAATTACCGGACATAAGTCACATGTTATGTAACTTAAATCTCACACGGACACTGAAGGGTACCTTGAGCATCAAATAACGAAGCGTCAGTATTTGACGTGCTGGGATGAGAACGGGCTGAGCCTTTACAACGTTATTATAAAGTTTCATATTTCATAAAAATTACAAAGACTCTCAAAAGTCTTTTAATGGGAATTCCTTCATTTAAGCTTTTTCTTCCCCTTTGACATCTCTTGGTTTCTTTGCCAAAATGTATACCTTTAACCTAAGATGATGTAATAAACACATATCAGGGCAAAACAAAAGACAAATCTGAAGTCTAGCTAGACCTTAAATATGTGACAATATAATTCTAAACATAATATGTTGATGTGTACCTTATTTCGGGGGGATTTAGGGGCCTTTCGGGATTATGGATAGATGGATATATGGTTCAAAGTGATAATATCTCCCTACTTCATTGATTACATCGAATGCAAAGTCAGTTTATGTTGGAGAGGAGTATCTATGGCCAGATACATATAAAACACTAAAGACAGGAAAGCTAATAGCAACACAGGGAGTCAAACGATCGAATATCATACAGTTTGTTTCAGATCACCATTCTGACAATAGCAGCTTCTAAAGATTTTTTGAAAGATATACTTTTTCTTCTTACATGGAAACTAAAAAGTGCCGTAACTGAGGTCAATAATACAAACACTGATTAAATATGACATTTTGTAAAAATGAAATACATGAAAACAAAAACAAAAAACATTTTTCAACCACCTGTCCATTAAGAACATGTAGTAATATTTACATGATATTTGTGATTTTTATATTTGGTGGAAAATAATACCATCTCACTTTTTCTGTATGTTGTGGTACTGACTTAGTTCTTCACTAACATTGGTTTTAAAATGACATGAAATTGGTCTTACAATGCCACTTGTACAGCTTGTTGTGTACAATGATTTATGACAATGATGTGGAATGCTATAGCAACCTAATATGAGTCAGAGGGACTGTGCCATTGGCCCAAATTAATGAAAATTCATAATCATGCTGATAGTAACCATGACTATGGTTGCAGCCAAATAAGAGCAGCAGAATTTGGACCAATATGCCAAGCAGCCTTCATTATCAAATGTGCACGAGAAAAACTAGTGTATATGTGTCTGGAATGAAGAGTAACAAAATACAAAGCTTTTGTAGCAGCCATGTATTCTAAAGAAGTTAATTGGGGGGACAGACACCCAGGTTCACAATACTGAAAAGTGCTGATCAGAGCAACCAAGTGCACTTTTTAATGCAGAGACAATTGTAACAGTTAAATTAAATATTTACAAACTTGACCCACTAGACAATCTTAGGACCTTTGATCATATTGTGACTGCAAATGCTGTGTTGACATATACATCCAAATGTCATTTTCATGTACAACAATGTTGCCTGCAGAGCTACAGCTGAGACTCCAACACTACTTGGAGGGGAGAGAATGACAGATATGTGTGTATGTGTTCATTTCTGTGTGTGCGCGCGTGCATGTGTGTCAGACGTGGTCTCCTTCCACCTATAGTCATTCTCACCAAGAGCCATGGCCTATCCAGTCCTTTATTTCAGTACTCTTGTGGGACTGTGCTGTGCAGTACTGTCCGATCAAAAAAGCCACAGACTCATTGACTACATTCTGAACAGGGCTGGGATCATTTTATTTTCAGTTTAAACATTTTGAATCAGCGCTTGAGGTAACAAAGTTATTATCCAGCGCCATGAGGGAGGAGTTCAAACTGAAACTAAAATCACCCCAACTCAAAGTGAGGTGTTTTCGATGACATTCTTTAAGTCGTGGTCAATGTATGTAGTATTTTTCTTGGGCAGTTAGGAATGACAAGTGAGGTTCTGGGTTTTAGTGCATTTCATATGTGGTGCCGTGTATTATCTGAAAGTGTGATGGACTAACATGCAAGCATGAATGAATGCAATAAAGAGGTACTGTAAGCAGCAAGGCAGACAACTCTGTCTAACCCTATTAGATATTATGATGTGAAGATGGCAAGTAGCAGCAAAGACAGTAGCAGAAGCCATGCTAAAAATGGTTTATGCATTCAGGATTTTGCTGAAGTAGTATAAAATTGTCTTAGGAAATTATGTTTGCAATTGGTCAACAATTATTTGACATTTGTTGTGTGTTTGTGCATTTTATTTTGCCTTTTGTGTTGAATGTGTGGCTTTAAACTTAACAATATGGCTGTCTCATTCCCCACCAAGCTAGGAATAACATCTATAGCCTCTGATGTGTCTATGAAGAAACACACTTTACTGAAAAGGACATATAGATACAGAATGTCTGACCAGTTTGAAACCAGGAATGATATAAGCACGAATTTCTAGTCCCTCCAAAAAGGTGTTTAACATGCCTTCAAAGTGTCTGAGGTTTAATTTTAGCATTTGTCTTGAATTCCTTCATAGTTGCAAAACACAGAGCCGACATCAACACAATCCCCCACTTGCACATTTTGATTTACCTTTGGTTCAACCATGTGATTGTAGAGCAAGGTCACTAAAATAGACACTGAAGCCAGCACGAAACTGAACAAAAGGCATGCTACTTAGGCTTGTTTATATTTTGTTTAGGTTTTTTTGTTTGTTTGTTTTCTTATTCTTTCAAAAAAAAATGTCTGTTTCATGTATTTTTTTCTCCTTGCTATATATATTTTTTATGATGATATTGCAGGGTTACTTTCCTTTTAGCTGAGAAATGAAGTTTTCTGCGGAGTCTCGAGAGTCCCATCCTCTATTCTAGATCTTTCTGTGATGTGTAGGTGGAGGCATTTCAGCTGGTTGTGGTTGCAGTATGGATGGAGAGGTATGCCTGTTAAGCAGCATGTGCAGGAAATTGGAGGCCGAGAGGAGAATGAAGGAGGGGTCTGCCTCGGCCGCTCTGGCTGTGTTGTGTTGGAGCAAGGGTCCTGGGACGTTGAACAGAGGTCCCTGCTCAGCTTGGTCACCCCAGGGAATGGACATGTCCCTCCTTTCTGTTCTCTATAGCATTGGGATCCCGACAGGAGCACTCATCTCGTATGTCACAGGACATGGGGAATGGAATCACCTGAGTGGGACGAGAAAAAGATGTTCACATTTATAAAGTATAGTAGCCTGTAACTCTACAACCCAATTGCACAGCAATGATTTTAAATTCCAGTCAAGATTCCAAGTTTCCAAAAACACCAAATGTGTCGTGCTGATGGTTAAGGTTTGGCTAGGTTTAAGTATAAAAACAACTTGACTAGGGTCAAAGAAAGGTCATGATTTGGGTTAAAATTAATGCTTTGTAAAGTTTAGGGGACTTTTGTCATCATGGTTACATTACATGGTTAAGGTTAGATTGTGGTTGTGATTTAAAAAAACAACATTGACTGGTTGGTAAGGGGTAATATACAGTGGTCTGCCTCATTAAGTCCAAAGTTTTTGTTGACCTTTATTTTTATTAACGTCACTTGACTTATTCCTTTGCCCCTGTCATAATTACTAAAGCAGCTAGAGGCCTTTGTCACATGAACATACAAATATGTAATTTTTCGGGCATCTGCTGAAATTACTAATTGTGTTGTTTTCCTTGGGAGGACAGTCTCATAAAATATAATAATAATATAAGTTTTCCATTTGATATAATGGTGCCACCATCACAAAAGTGCTGTAGCAAGTAGATACCAAGCAGACAATTAAAAATTAACAAACTAAGACGTGTACAATTCATGAGGCACCGTTAGTTGTCTCAATGGAACAAACTGCCATATGATAAAATTTTTTTAAGTATTAATTGCAATTTTTTAATGTCACTAATATTTTATCTTGCTGTTTTGCTATATTTGGTATTATATAATATTCCCAGTGGACATTCACATCACAGAGCTTTCTCCATTTCTCTGTGTTTGTCAGATGCACCCACAAATCCTCACATACACAAGCTAGCTCACTCTCTTTTGCTCTCCTCAAAGTTGATGTAGGCCAGATTCTTGCAAATATCAAACAGGTTGGAAATTAAATTGTGGTGGTTCTCATTAGGCCATTTTGTAATGGGTACACATACTCTGTACACAAAGTGTACCTAAACTCAGAGCTAAGCTGAAGCCTCCATGGTGTTGTTATTCTAACAGTTCATGCACTGTTGCATCAATTTAGAACAACAAAAGAAGCAACTAATCGTGTCAGCGGTGTGCAGCTGCAAGAAAACAATGGACACCCAATGAGAAGCAAGTTTTTTGTCATAGAAGACCCATGATATATATCACAAACTCAGAATATCAGAGAAATTGATATCCCAGTTTATTTGATAGGCTGATGTCGAAGTGAAATACTGTAGGTGAAAATAGAACCGGAAGATCAGTGGCCATTGCCCCTGGTGTTTGACGTCAGTGGATAACGTTGGCAATGCGTCACCAGCACCAGCTGCTGCTGCTTTGCCTACTTGCCTCTCAAGGGGCATGCTTCAGCTGTTTGGGTACACAAAATGTGTCCCCCTCCTCCAGGCCAGGAACACATGTGGTCCAAGTCATGGAAGGCAGGCAGCAGACCAAGGGCATGTCTGCATTTGTGTGCTGGTGGCTTATCAGATCAATCTGTGGGGGCCTGCGGCCAGTGTCGCTTGTTCTTGTTAGGGTTGAGTGGTATTGCCTTTTTTGCACAAAGGATCTCTGTATACAATGTAAATGTAACAACAATACTGGCCACTGTAACCAACACAGATACTTAGTTGACCACGTGCCTCATGCCAAAGACAGCCATTAGTTCAATGCTATTACTGAAAGCTGCCTGGCTGCTATGGGAGGAGTTATATCCAGGGGAGGGTCATGGTGCTATTATCTGAATATACTGCTCTATATAGTAATTACCCAGACTACTACTGTAATGCCATCAAACAAATTGCATCATGAGCTAATACTCTCTGGGATGGTTAGTCAGGTAATTACTAAATGTATTAGCAAAGAATGAGAAAGAAATGAAGATTTCCCATTTGCTTAAAAAGATGCATTCATAACAATAGTGTCCATTATACTGCACACTATCAACATTAAAGTTTAGAACATTGAAGCTGACTCACTTCGTGTGTGACTGACTAAGCATGTAAATCCAACTTCCTCTAAGGCTAATTGTTTTATTTTTCACAGATTTTAACAGAATAATACACAAATTTCTTAAAAGAAGCAGAGCACTCTCAACTGATTAACAGATTAATGTTCCCATGTGCCTGAAGGTTGTTACAAGAAGATTCTGACCACCCTTAAAACATGTTCCTCAACTCAAATCTTCCAGTAATAGAAAATTAAGAGAGAAATGGGTGAAAAGGGAAATGAGCTGTAGATTAGGAAACACCTAAAAAAGAAATTGTTTAACTAGATAGTGTTGTGATGCAAAGAGTACATACAGTCTCTTTTTATTTATAATCAGGTTTTCACCAAGATTTTTCAACTCAGATTTTCTTTCAATAAAAAACTTAAATAATGAGCTCTCTCACATCTTACAACTCACTTTCTTTTAGTTGTGCTAAATGTTCATGATGAAATTAGTGTAAAGTAAATGCGAAGTGTAAAATGTTATAGTTGGTGGTAAATGCAACACACAGGAAACACCACCAATAGTTTGTGAGAGTCAGGGATTTACAGACAGCAGGTCTGAGGAATGACATGCGGGAGCATGCTAGTCACTGAGGAGCAGTGACGCAGGCTCCCCTTTGAAATGGGGTATAAAATAGGTTGTTTGTATGGAGGGGTGTTCCTAATGTGAGGGCCAGGTGGGCAGTGCCCAGACTCCTCTGAGAAAATTAGGCCTACACGTGATGACTTTACAAGCCCAGGGCCGGACACACTTCAGAAACAGCTGTGAATCCGCATGACCAGAGTTTCCTCTATGGCATTTTGAATGGCATTTTGAAGCCAAGAATACGGGGCTCCTCACTCCCACCTGACTCTTTCTCTGTTTAATTACACTATCTCTCAGTTTCACACCTTCTCCTTGTCTCCTTTAGAGTTTCTTCCTTACTTTAGCTTGTTTTATAACTCCTCTCTCTTGCAGCACATATTCCCACTATTCTCCCCACCTCACTTCCCCTCCAAAGCCACTTCTGTTTATCTCTCTATCTAGAAAATGATGGTGGGTGGCAAATTTGACATGGTTTCCTTTGACCTTGACCTCCAGGGTGGCTGGACCAGCTGCCACATCTGGCCCTGACTTGAGGTTCTCTCAGGGTGGCTGGGAAATGGGACTGGTTGGCCTTGTGGGCCTGGGGCCCCCCTATTGCTGCCCCATGTCCCAGGGCTGGAGGAGGTCTGGGGAAGGACACCCACTAACAGCAACATGAAAGACCTTCTAAAGAACACAGTCCTCATCAGAGCCCTATCCTTCCATCTCAGGAACAGGTCAAAATAACACAGAGTTCTTCTCTTTTCTCTGTGTGCAGTATTGGCAAGTCAGCCTATGCTTAAAGGGAAGAAGGTGTGCAAAGGGCACAAGCCTAGGGAAAGGGGGATCAGATGATCTCGGGATGCATAATACACTGTTCATTAGCATGTAACACTTGTTATTACATTTTCGTCTTAATATTTCAAAATGTATGTGTATAACACAGGCTGTTTTCCATTCCATAAATCTAAAATGTAATAATTTCACAAACAGTGAGCTGTGCTTCGGCCGACTCATGCACCTAAAGTCAGTCTCCTGATTCCAAGCAAAACTGCATGACAGCACTGTCTTTTGGTCATGGTGTATCGCAACAGTTAGAGTCAATTGTCAAATAAATCAGTTGCTAATAAATTACTCGCTGGAACCATTGAGCATAGTGTGAAATCTGACAAAAACATACAGAGAGAGTGCAGAAAGAAACATACAACAAGAAGATAGAGTTTTAAGATTAGGAAGGAGAACAAGCAACTTAAGAACAAAAGAACACATAACTAAGTTTGGCAAAATAGGTGCAGGCACTTGGCATCAGCAAACAGCCAAAACCCCTAAAAACGGTGGGGAGTGTGTTATTGCATTGCAGTGGCTTGACAAGGTAAAAAAGCAACTCTTAATGCCATGACCAAGAAGTCCATGTATATGCGGGTGCCTGCGCCTATCTGTGCCTCGGCCCATTCCTTACCTTTAAATGCCCTGGCAGAGCCTTGGCCATGGGAAAAACTTAGCTGCACTCAGACATTTAAAAAATAAAGAGCTGCTGAAAGCATGCGCTTTTGGCATCAAGGTATGTGAATATTTGGAAAATTAGAGGAAGAAACATTCACTACTGATAAACAGCATACTATCTACATATCACTAATAGAAATTTAATTTGTGTGGATTATATAAGAATAGGTTAAATGTAAATCTAAACAGCTAAACACCCAGAGAAGAAAGTGACATTTTCCATGTTGTTTTGCATGCATTTGCATGTGAATCACCAACAGACACAGAGTGGATAGGTGGTCAACTGTGGCAGTGGTGGCTATCACAGACCATCAGCTTTGACACAAACATCAATTGTGACACATAGCAAGTCACGTAGTGAGCATACTTGTGCCAGACTGCGCGCTGTAAACAGGGGCGAGAGAGCGGGAGGGTTCTCAGCACTTCCCCAAGACCCCAATGCAGAGAGAAAACCCTACAGGCACATTTAGAAAAAGTTGTTTTAGAGAGGCCAAGCAGTATAACTATATAATTGGTGCCCAAGAAAGGAATTCCTCAAAAACTGGGGGCGATACCACAACAGTTTGTGCAGGCAACCCTCAGAAAGCATATCCCATACCCTTGCCTCCTCTCTTCCCTGTCCCTCTACATCCAGCCAACAGCTTGCAACTATTAAGGGGAGATCCTGTGGTGACCTTACACTCAGCCAGTCCTTGCACCTTCAAAGCTCCTGGAGTGGAATAATACACAGCAAGTCATGCAGAATTCCTTAATACACAAATATCTATCAAAATAAAAGACAAGAGAAGCATATGCCAGGAAATGGGGGGTAAAAATAAACGAGCAGCAGAGTTCCATTGCTGGAAAAAAAATAAGACGAGAAGCAGGAGGAATCTAGAAAACTTTAATAATTGCTAATAATCTGATTCCTATAGCATTTAAGCATGT